GGGGGTGACCCAGAAAACATCACCATCTTTGGGGAATCGGCCGGTGCTGTCAGTGTGTCCCTGCAGGTGAGTTGTCTCTGTCACTCCCCACTAGAGCCACTTCTGTGTAAATTGGGGAGAGGGACCCCTTGGCACTGTGACACTTTCCTCCCCAGGCTGGGTTCACAAGTTGTGAGGTGATCAGTGGGTTCTGGCACACCGTGGTGTCTTTGTGAATTCGTACTTGAAACCCTGTTGTTTCCATTCTGCACCCCAGACCTTGTCCCCGAAGAACAAGGGCCTGTTCAAGAGAGCCATCAGCCAGAGTGGTGTTGGGGTCTGCAGCTGGGCCATCCAGAGGGACCCGCTCTTCTGGGCTAAAAAGGTAATGTTCAAGTCTTGCCTGAGTGATTAGAAAAAACAAAAAAGTGATTCCCTAGAGGAGGGCATAACTAGAAGCTGTGCCCAACAGAACTTTGGAAACATGATGCTTTAAAGATTAAAACACATTCACCCCTCTGCCTCTATAACAATAACCTCTGTCTTTGGGAGGTAATGCTAGGAGGTTTCTTTCTCTCTCCTTCTGCAGCTCGGAGAAAAGCTGGGCTGCTCCACAGACAACACCACCGTCTTGGCCAACTGCCTTCGTGTCTCTGACCCCAAAGCCTTGACACTCGCCTACCACCTGCAGCTGACCAACCTGCCCAGTAAGTCCCCTGGCCCACATGGTGATTCCCCATCCACCCAGGGCTCCCCAGACCTCTGGCAGGACACTGGAGTGATTTCCAGGAGCATTGAAGCAGTGCTTGTGCCCTTCAGAACGGGGACAATAATGCCAGATCTTGCAGTCACCCTTCCATAGGCAGGTGCACATTGCGCTGGATGAGCACAGCTCACCTCAGCCTAATTTTTCCAGAGCTCTTTGAGTCATTGCAGACCACACACCTGTCTGTTCTCACCTCCTAACAGACTCTGGGTTTGTCTCCTGCTGCAGCTGCCCTGGTGCACACCCTGGCCATCACTCCCGTGGTCGATGGAGATTTCCTCCCAGACATGCCAGAGAATCTCTTTGCCAACGCTGCTGACATCGACTACCTGGTTGGGGTCAATGACATGGACGGGCACTTCTTCGCTGGAGTGGACTTACCTGCCATCAATGCCCCACTGAGGAAAATCACTGAGTAAGTGAGAGAGGCTCTGGAAACCCTCAACTGGAGGAATCTTCTCTTTAATGTGGCTCCCACACTCTGAGCGCTTAGACTTGAGTGGACAGGGCTCGACCTTCAAAACAGGGTGTCACTCCAAGCCTGCATGCCCAGGACTTGTGT